CAGCCGGCTCTTCTGTCTGTGGAATTCTCCAGGCAAGAATACTGGAGTGGGTTGCCATTCCCTTATCCAGGGGCTCTTCCTGACCCACGGATTGATCCTGGGTCTCCGGCACTGCAGGCAGATTCTTTACTGACTGAGTCACCAGGGAAGTAATTATACTCCAATAAAATAAAAATAAATGAGCCTGTAGGAAGAAAAAGAAATTTAGTTTAAATCCTAGCTATGACTAAGAAAGAAACCGCTAATATTCTACTCCCCAGGAAAGGTATGTGAGTTTGTGAACTGATGACTTCAAGGTCCTTTGCCCTTCTCTCCCAAAGGTCACGATGTCTCATCTCCTTGATATGAATGTCACGAGGGAGCCTTGAGATTGCTCAGACGTGAAAGGAAGCCTGTCATTCTGCTGGGTTGGGGAACCAGCTGGTGGTTTCTCCTCTCTGCTGCCTTCCTGCAAAGCAGTGCATACAAAGGGCAAAGCTTCTCATTTTAAAACTGAGTGTGTGGTCTTTACTCACAAAGCCTGTTTCCTCACTGTAAAACTTGCCCTGACCTACCTTGCAGGATCGCTGTCAAGATTGAAAATGTAAACATGTCTGACAAAGCCCCCTTTCACAGAGGGCTATATGAGTATAAAACACTAGAATGCAATTTCTCAATTAAAAAAAAAAAACCTCCATTGGGACTTCCTTGAAAGTTCAGTGGTTAAGACTCCATGCTTCCAGTGCAGGGGGCGCGGGTTTGATCCCTGGTAAGGGAACTAAGATCCCACATGCTTCACAGCACAGCCAAAAAATAAAAAAACCAACCTCCATTACTTACAAGATAAAATAAAAACACTTTATCCTGATCCATCAGAGTCTCCAGCACATGCCCACCTACCTGCCTGCCCAGTCTTGCTGCCATCCATCATCCTCCCAACACATCCTGTGATGCAACCCACCCCAGAAACCCGACATTTTCCCCCCAGAATCACTCCGGTGCCTTCCTGCTTGTTCTTTCCACCTGGAATGCCCTTTCCTCATTCTTACCTGTCAAGATCTTTCCTATACCTTTAGGCCTATTGAAAGAAAAGCTTAGACTGTGCTTTTCGGCTAGTTAGAAAAGTAATACGTGCATATGGTATGAAATGAAAAACAAGTCTCTGTTTTCCTCCTCTTAATTCCCCTCCCTCAAATGCAAGGTCACTCCACAAACACACTTCCAGAAGTTTATATGGATCTATCAGCATATATGTGTACCTTCTCTTTTAATGTAGGTAAATGGAATTACCGCTTCCCCGGTGGTTCAGGGGTAAAAAATCCACCTGCCAATGCAAGAGATGCAAGAGACTTGAGTTTGATTGATCCCTGGGTTGGGAAGATCTCCTGGAGCAGGACATGGCAACCCACTCTCATATCTTGCCTGGGAACCTGCCATGGACAGAGGAAGCTGGCGGGCTACAGTCCACGGGATCGCAAAAGAGTTGGACATGACTTAGTGACCACATAGCAACAAATGGAATTATACTTACATATTGAGCATGTAAGTATTATTGAGTATGTAAGTATAACTATATATTAACATGTATCTTGGATGTATTCCAAATCAGCACAGAGAGAGGTGGGCTCCCTGCTTTTAACAGCTGGGTGAGGGACTTCCCTGGCAGTTCAGTGGTAAAGACACTGCTTGCAGTACATGGGTCACTGGTTCCATCCCTGGTTGGGGAACTAACATCCCACATGTTATGTGGTGTGACTGGGGAGGGGGAAAAGAGCAAACAATTGAAAAAGATCAGGAAAAAAAATAACGGGGTGACATTAGCACAAATCACCCCCCATTCTATTTTAGCACCCTTCCCTCCAACAGGTGCTTGCTGTTGCAGCCAAGGCTGCAATGAGTATCCCCACCCCATGTGGCCGGGCAGTGTGCCATGTTCCCATGGGACGCATCCATGACGTCAAACTCCACTGGAATCCCTCCCCTCCCGGGGGCTCCTGCAGAACTTTCCTTGGAGTTCCTGGGCTGAGCATTTGCCAGAGGCTACAATCAGATGGTGATTAGGTTCAAATACTAGTTGCTCCATCAACATCCCTCCCTGCATCACTTTTCTCATCCCTACAAAGGAGGCGATAATTATGGTACCACTTTCGGAGTTGTCTTGAGTATTACATGCAATAACGTGTTATAGCCCCTGGATCAGGGGAAGGACTCAGGATGGCTAGCTGCCCTCTCCTTCCCCCTCTGATATCCCACCTACCCTATGGAATGCCAAGCTTTGCATGTGGGCCCTGGTCTAGTCTAGTCTGCACCCCGCAGCTTCCCTGGATGTGAATGCGGTGGGTGCACAATAAATAAATGGCCCCTGCATGTGCCGTGAGGAGCAATCCTCCAGCTTTGGCCAGACCCCCCACTCCGCAAGGCCTGGGGGATGGGGAAGAGTAGAGGTGCCTCTCTCTGGATGGTCCACAGCACCCCAGAGACCCTCCCCCTCTTTCCCTACCATCCACCCCCATCCAGGTCAGTGGTAAATAGCAGGAAGGTGGGGGTCAGGAGCTTCATGAAAAGCCAAGGCCCCAGCCCACCCTGGGACCAACACCACTGCCTGATTCTGGTCCCCACAGGGACCAGACACCGCCTGCCTCCCCAAGCCCTGGCCGGTGTCTCACTTCAAACTTGGCTCCTCTGGGCCAGCCATGTCTCTCCAAGGGGTGGGAGTGGGGGGAATAAGAGCCTGCTCAGGGCTGAGAAAGGGGCATTTGGACACTGGAGCTCACCCCAAATCTCACCACCATCCCTGCGCCCCCCCACCAATGATTTTGTTCGTCTAGTCTACCGCAGGAGGCTAGGCCAGAACATCAGCATCCGGAGGGGGGAACAGAGGCACCTGGGCAGCCAGATAGCAACCAAGGGGTGGGAAGGCCAGGACGGAGTCACTGGGCACCAGCAGGGTGTCAGTTGGGGCCACACACACCCGGGGGACCAGTTAGGTGGGTCCTGAGGATAGATGCCTCTGGGAAGGGGAGGTGCAGGGGTTTGGGCCCGGGTACAGGGCACATGCTTGAGACGTCCTGCAGGAGTGGGCACCTGGGGCGGAGGGGACTCTGCCTGCCCCCACCCCAGGGGAGCTATAGGGCCAGGGGAGAGGCTGCCGCAGAGGAGGGAGGCTAGGAATCAAAGCTGAGCTCCACTGGGCTGAGAGCAAGTAGAGACTGCCTCAAAGTTGAGGAGACAATGAGGTCCTCCTCTGATAACAGTAACAGCACTAGTAGTTAACAATAGCAGCTGCTCACAATTATGAGCACATGCCTCCTGCCCTTCAAGGGGCTTCTTAAAAGAGACAGGGCCTATTTTTCAGTTCAGTTGCTCAATCGTGTTTGACTCTTTGCGACCCCATGGACTGCAGCACACCAGGGTTCTCTGTCCATCACCAGCTCCCAGAACTTGCTCAAACTCATGTCCATTGAGTCGGTGATGCCCTCCAACCATCTCATCCTCTGTCCTCCCCTTCTCCTACCTTCAATCTTTCCCAGCATCAGGGTCTTTTCCAATGAGTCGGTTCTTTGCATCAGATGGCCAAAGTATTGGCGTTTCAGCTTCAGCATCAGTCCTATTTTTTATCAGGGCCCATTTTTACCTCCATTTTTATTTCTTTATGCAGGATCTTAGTTCCCTAACCAGGGATTGAACTTAGGCTCCCAGCAGTGGAAGCACAGAGTCCTAACCACTGGACTGCTGGGAAATTCCTTTTACTTCCATTTTATTTATTTATTTTTAAAGTGAATTATTTATTTAATTCATTTATTCGGTTGTACCAGGTCTTAGCTGTGGTGTGTGGGATCTAGTTCCCTGACCAGGGATTGAACCTGGGCCCCCTGCGTTGAGAGCACAGAATCTTAGCCACTGGACCACCAGGGAAGTCCCTTACCCCCACTGTAAACAGAAGGAAGCCACAGGCCAAGGGAGGTTGAAGGATTTGAGGTACAGTGGCACACCCAGGATCTGAGGCTCCTTTGACGGTAGAGATGTCACCACCAGTGGTTTCACAGGTAAGAAAGTGGGACCGGGGTGGCTACTATGTTAATAGGCTCGGACAGGCTCCGCGGCCCGGAGGCTGACCCCGCAGTCCAATCTCCAGATCTTGAATGCTTTCCTCAGATGCAGGCATCCGTGCCAACCAAGGTCCTGCCCCATTAGGAAGGTTCCGTGTCATTGGGCCAGAGGCCACACGGGTTTTTTTTTTTTTAACTGCGTCTCCCCTAAAGGAGATTCCTGGAATTTTCCAGAGACCCCGCCGCCACACAGGCACTCAGTGAGGGCTTCTCCCAGGAGCAAACCCTAGGTCCCCTTCTTTCCTCGGCGCCAGGCCTGGACGCGGTGCCGGGGGCGGTTGGCGGGGGAAGTTGAGTAAGACCGGCTCTCGGCCCGGCGGGGAGCCTTCGCTGCGGCAGGATGCGGAGGAGGGCGCGTTCGCGGTGGACGAGAGTCGAGAGCAGCGATGGAAATCAGAGGAGGCGTCCCGGAGGCGGCAACCGCAGCAGGACTTGCAGGCGAGACTCTCCAAATGAGTCTGAAGGAACGCCTGAGGGCTAAAAGGCCCAAGGGAACAGGCTCTTTTGATTCAGGGATGAAGGCTCTGGGAGGGGGCTGTTATTGGAGAGGCTTTTCTTGGGAGTTCACGGGATGTTGGCATTTCAGACCTAGATTATACGTTTTATCGGGCGAAGAGGACGGCGCCCGGAAGAGAGCAGATCCGGCGGAAAATAGGGCTCTGCCCAGTACAGCACTGGAGCGACCGAGGAAGGGTAGCGCGACCCTGGAGCGGCTCTGCCTGGGGGACCGACCGAGGCCCCGCCCCCCAGAGCTAGGCCCCGCCTCCAGGACCTGGACCCGCCCCCAGAGTTCGGCCCCGCCCCACCCAGGGCTCGGCCCCGCCTCCAGGACCCGGCCCCGCCCAGGCGTCCGGCCCCGCCCCCGCCGACTGCGCGCAGGTAGGGAAGAGGCGGAACGCTGGGGCCCCGCCCCCGGGAGCCACTACCCAGCGGCCGGCCGGCGCAGCTTGGAGCTGAGTCCCGGGGACTTGGGGCCGCAGGGAGGTGAGCGCGGGGCGCCGGGAGGGGCCGGTTCGCGGCAGCTGGGCGCCGGGTGCCAGAGGGGCCACGGGGTCGCGCCCGGGGCGGCGGTGCGTGACCGGCGAAGGGGCCGGCGCTGGCCCCACGTGGGCCGATACCGGAGGCCGGGGCTGGACTGGGTCGGGGCCCCTGGACCGGGTCTGCCAGCCCCTAGGCTCAGCTCGGATAAGACACCTCCCGGGTCCCTGGGCCACGGGTCACCAGAGGCGGGGACAGGATGACTGGGCCGCAGTTTAAAGTCCCGGGAGGACGAGCAGGGGGAAAGCCCCAGGGCAGGACCGCGCAGTCCCGCCTCGCCCCAGAAGCGCCCGGAATTCAGTCCTTCCCCGCCCCGCCACTTTCTCTTGGGTGAGCTGCAGCGGCCGGGGCGGAGTTTGTTCGGCCTCGCCGGGGTGGAAACAGGTGCCGGTGCCGCAGCCAGGCCGGACCGGAGCTCAGAAGTTGGACCCAGGAGTCCTGACTTCTGGACAGAGGGGCTTGGGAAGGTGCCCCCCCCCCTTCTCCGTTCCCCCAGGGTACTGCGTTGGGTTAGAGAGGAGTATGTCTCTAGAGTATAAGCCCCTAACTCCGGGGTCAGAGGGGAGCCCGGGGTGGAAGGCCAAGGGAGAAGGCCTGGAGTTGGAGCCGAGAGTTGGAGTGCCTGAGGAGGGGAGGGCTTGCAGACTGACCCCCACGTGGACCAGCTGCTCTTCCCCAGTGACTAGCCTTGGACCCTGTGTGGGTGGCTTTTGCTGAAATGGAATGGGCTCAGCGTCTGTGTTATGTTACTGTCACTTGCTGTAGGTGAGGCAGAGCAAAGTGGAAAGCGAAGCTTCTTTCAGAGCAGTGATCCTCAAAGAGGCCTGGGGGGAGTGATTTTGCCTGCCAGGGGACATTCAGCCGTGTCTGGAGACGTTTTGATTGTCACACCTGGGGGTGGGGTGGGGAGCATGAGTGTTGTGGCTCCCAGCATCTAGTGTGTAGAGGTTGGGGACGATGCTAAACACCCTGAGGTGTGCAGGACAAGACAGCCCCCTACCATGAAGAGTTACCCAGCTGGAAGCGTCAGGAGTGCTTCGCTGAGCTTGGCGTGGTACCCAGTCCATCAGGTTGCTTCTCACTGACTGCCCCTCTCTGCCTCAGTTTCCCCAGGGTTAGAGGAGGAATAAACCTGAATGAGATAAGCGGTAAGAAGGCGTGAGGGCAGTCCTGTCATAACAGCAGGCCACCCTTGGTGCCACCAGCCTCTTCCCTACTTAAACCCCGAGCCCTGCATTAAGTAGTTCTGGGTGCCGTGGGGGAGGGGCTGGAAACAGGGGCTCTCTCACAGCTGGGCCCTGGAGTGCTTCACCCCCAGGGCACCTCCCACGCCGGGTGAGCCAGGGCAGCCCTGGGGGTCAGACATCCGCACAGTGTGGAGGGTAGGAAGGGGGCGAGCTCTGTTCTCAGAGACTGTCCCAACCCTTGATCGCTGGGCGGGCCTGGATGCCTGACACCATGTGACCGGCTGTCATTTTCCCTTCTGAACCTACTCCTAACTCCTCAGTTACTTTATACCAGGAAAATAACAACCAAGGAATAACAGGACACATTCCTTGCTGCTTCACAGTCTGCTTCCCTCCGGCAGTAAAAAGTCCCGTGGTGGCTGTGGGAACTCTGGGTGAGTTGAGAGACCTAGGGTGGGCCCTGATGCTAGCTCAGCGAGGCCCCCCCTGCTCATGGTGTTAGCAGAGCCCCAGTGAGAGATGGGGGTCATTGGAGCCACAGGCCAGGGGGTTCCTGGTAGGGACAACTCTGAATTAATTATTTGCCTCGGGCTCCCCGCTGTGCAGGGGGCTGTCATAGAGAGGGCAGGGTGGGATGGAGCAGCCATCCACGCCCAGGAGCCCAGGCCCCCTCACTGCCCTCCCTGCCCACTTCTTGACAATCTCCATTCCCACGCCCACCCTCCATCCTGTTTACTTGTGGTCCCTGGCCTCCTGACCTGGGAACCCTGGTGGGGTCAGAGGGCAAGTGGCAGTTTCTGGTTTGACTTTTGCTTTGGGGGGCTTCTTTTAATCTTTTAACTTTAAAAGGCTGGAGTGAGGCTTTCACCTTTTCAGCTAAAATGAAAACAAACAAATAAAAGCAACCTGTAATAGCGACCTCCCATCTTCTGTGTGCCTCTGAAGCTGCAGTCAGACTTGCACAAAGCTGTCCAGGAAGTAATCAGCAGGGCCTCACGTTGAGCCTGGGCCGCCTCTTCCCAGGCCCAGCCCTCAAACCCTATGCCACCAGCTGGCAACAGAGCACCAGGCGACTTCTACCTCACTTACTCATTTCTGAGTTGCAGCAGTACCTGGTATAACACATGGACACACACACACAGGCATGTGCTCACTGCCCAAGGTGGGGGCTCCTGGTCCTCTAAGAGGAGGAATGAATCACGCCACAAATGCACTGTGGGGGTCACTGGGGTCAGTGGTGGCGGCCAGACTTCTCTGCAGGCTGTATGACTTGCTGTGTAAACTCTTCCCCCAGGAGAGACCTCAACTGAGAACAGGAAGTCAAGGGATGGTGTGTTTGTGCCTGTGACTTGAATGACCCATCTGGCACTTCCCTGTGGGTTGGGATGAGGGGTAGTGGGATTAGGGTGGCCCCGGCCCCCTGCCTGCCCCCTTGTGGAACTTCCAAGGGGATGTACACTCTGTACTTCAGGTCCCCTTGGGGTCTCCATGGCGCCCACTTTGGAGCAGACCTTAGTGTTGCCCTGGCCACCCTTGGGGATTTCCAGAGTGAGCTCACGCCTCTGCTCCCGGTTTCCCATCCAGCTGGGCCAGCCTGGGGGAGGAGTGGTGACCACACCGGGGAGGCTGTGAAGCAAGGGCTGCTCTCAGGACCGGTGTAGAGAAAGCATTTTCTTCTCCGCATCAGAGCAGTACAGACAGGCGCCGTGTCCACGTTCCCTCATTCAGTAAGTTTATCTAAGGGACCCAGATGCAAGGCTTGCGGTTTCAGAGCCTTGGGAAGGCACATTCTGAGCCTTCCAGGAAAGCTGTTGTTCAATCGCTCAGTTGTGTTCAACTCTCTGCGACCCCATGGACTGCTGCGCGCCAAGCTTCCCTGTCCTTCACCATCTCCTGGAGCTTGCTCAGACTCATGTCCATTGAGTTGGTGATGCCATCCAACCATCTAGGAAAGTGGCTGGCACTAAGTGGGCAGCGCAGACAAAGTGGGCCCATCAGGGATGCTGGCCGGGAGGGTAGGGGTGGCAGTGAGAGGGGATGATTCCCAGCTGGGGGAGTCAAAAAGCAAGGCCCCGATTCTGGCAGGTGCCTGGGCTATGAGGGTGTGGTCAGTAGGATGGGGGGAGGGTCACTTAAATAGTCCGTGCCTCAGTTTCCCTAGCGGGGTCACAGTGGTCTGCCCCAGAGGATTCCAGTGGTGGTTCATGTGAAGCTTGGGCAGGTGTCTGGCTGCATGAGGAGCGTGCTGAGGGAGTAACAGAAACATCACAGTAACAGGGACGTGTCCATGTATCCTTGGGACTGACTCGCGATGAGGCCAGAGGTCTTACCTCATGGCCTGTCGGGGGGACGAGCTGAGAACAGGCTGTGGAATGGCATTGAGGCTGTGTCATCCTCTAGAAGTGTCTGGGTCCGGGGTGGGGGACCTCAGTGTCACGGAGGCCATGGGAATGGAGGGTGGGTTTTGGAGGGAGGGAAGGGAGGACCAGGCTGTGAACTGCTGGCCCCCACCTTCTAGCGTGTGCGTCATGTTGCTGGGGGGCGGGGGGCGGTTGTGGAGGCCATGACCCTCAACCCTGCTCCCTGCTGGCCGGGCTGCCTGGAGCCGGGAGCCAGGCCAGCTTGGCTTTCTCTGCCTCCCACATGTGGCCCCAGAGCTTGTGCCACGAGGATCCTCGGGTGGTCATGCCCTCTCCTGGTGGCTCTCCCAAGGTCCTGCCCCCTGGTGCAGACCCCAGAAGGCCTAGAAGAAAAAGGGGACCTGCACGGGACTGGATAGAAGCCGGCCTTGGAGCTGCAGTCTGCCCTGCAGAGTCCTGGCTCATTAGCTGATGGCTTTATCAGCCAATGACAATCGTAAGATAAGGACAAGGATGAGAGAATGTTTGTGAAAGCCCTAGATAAGCTGGGAAGTGCCACCAAGTGTTAGATGATGTCATTTCTACTTGGGGGGGCGGGGAGGGGCTCATGAGTCAAAGGCCTGTGCACCCCAAACTCGCCCCAGCTCCTGAGTCACCACCCCCTGCCCACTCTTCCGCCACTTTGCCTCACCAGTTCCCAGATGACAGGAGGCCACGGCCCCACGGCCTAACTGTGTAACCTCGGACAGGTGCCTTCACCTCTCTGAGCCTCAGTTACCCCACCTGTCAGAGATCTGCTGCCTCTGGGGCGCTTGGCTCAGATGTAGAAACCAAGTCATCCATGGTGGCGGGGGCCAGCCGGCAATGAAAGAAGCTACACATTAACCCTCCGCCAATTTTCCCAGGCGCTGGGCACTCACCATCTCATGTCATCTCTGCTGCATCACCCCATTTCACAGCAGAGAACACTGAGGCTCAGAAGTCATACCTTGCTCGGTCTCCCAGCGGGTAGGTGGCCAAGCTAGAGTGTGAGCCCCCTCAGCTCTCACTTCTCAATAAGAGGACCTCAGTGGCTCCAAAACGAGGTGGAGGGATGGAGCTGGTTATCCGTGCGGAGAGCCAGTCTGGTCTGAAGGGCCTGGCTGGCCCACGTCCACACGTCCCCGAGCCCTTGCAGCAGGCGTCGGGACTGGGGCCAGCTTCTCCAGGGATGGAGCAAGCCCCAGGGCAGGATTCTGGGAAGTCTGGTTTATTAGCTCCTTCGTGACTGTTTACAAGCTGGAAAGTGTTTGCCTGGCATCTTCGCTCGGTGCTGACGGCCGACCCCAGCCTCCAGGGGTAAGGGGCACCCGGCATCCTGTCCGGAGCGTGTTGAGGTGAGCGAGCCCGGGCAGCCCAG